TGTGAGTATACTATCTTTCTTCCAGTTACCTAGACTCAAAGTGGCAGGTTGTCAAGTATTATTCTACCTCTACAGTCTTTTTCCATCCTCTCCCCTTTTATCTATTTTCATTGCCTTCATGACCTCACCCCTGGACTTTTGTAGTAGCTTCCTGGCCTCCTACCACAACTTGCTGGAGCATAGCTCTAATCATAGCACCCTTTCATATATACCACCCTCAAAAACCTTCAGTAATCCCTCTTTGCTTACAGAATAGAGCCCAAACTCCTCATTCTGGCATTCAGTGTTTTCCACAATATGGCCCTACTTTTCTAGACTTACCTCCTAATATCCCCCAACAAATAATAGCCCAAGCTCTGGCCAAATTTTGATCTACTTTTCAAAGTGGTCCCTAAACATAATTAATGTTTTCCCTCTAACCCTCTTTTGATCATACAATTTCTTATTCCAGGAATGCATCCCCTCCTTCTCCAGCTATTGAAATGTTATCCAAGCTTTAAAAACTGGTTCAGTTATTTCCTCTCTAATAAAGCAGTATTGTTTACCTTGCCCCCGTGAACCAGATATGATCTATTCCCTCATCTAAGTGCCTTTAATACATTATACTTCCTTTTTCCCTTTATCATTTTCTGCTTTTTTTGTAGCTATCTTAACTCCTCTACTAATTCTTAAAGACAGACTTTGAATTAGTTGTTGTTATAATTGATGTCACTTGATTAATTTTTCTTGTACTTTTAAGGCAAATTAATCACGATGTCCATAATTTTTAAAAATAAGGGCATAAAAATGAGTAAAGAAAGCTGTAGACCTATAGACCTATTTGTTTGTAAAATTACTGTAATCTGTGTTTCCCAGTGCATTTCAGATTTAAAAATATTTGTGTTTTCAGTGCAACCTCCTTGATCAACTAATCATTTATCCTCCTCTAATTAGAACAATAAACATTTAAAACAATGCAAGCACCACAGAAAAAACCATCAGTGTAAACTGATTCTAGATTTACAGAATTGCAGCTTAATTGGAATCTTTTCCTTCATCTGTACTTATGCAGAACATAAGTGTGAATTTTGAAAAAAGACAGAATGAGCACCCTAAAAAGTGTGAAAAGTTTGAATGAGAAAGTTAAGGTGGTCCATTGTTTTTTGTCATAGCTACTTCAGTGATCCTTGGAAGATGACTTTCTTCTAGCTGACTGATAATCACCTATTGCCCTAAATTATTATATTCAATAAACTTTGTCATTTTAATATGGAAAACCTTTAAAAGAGAACATTAGTAGTTGGCATATATTTGAAATCAATAAAATGATATGTCTTTTACCATGTCCTAGAGTTCATCAAACTGAGTGCTTTACTGAGCTTTGTTGGGCAAATAATTTCATGAAAAAAAAGTCCCATCTTTAGTTCCCCAGTCCTAGAACTTAGGAGAGAGCCTGGGCTGGTCAACATTGACATGACTTTGTGACATTTAAAAAGTTTGAGTTATATAATTTTGAGGTAATTAATTATTTTATTAATAATGGTAGAATATTACCAATATTACCAATAAAATGGGTTAGTGACATTCTCTAATACTAAAGACCAGTCATGGTGGTAGACTAATAGTTTACATGCTCTTGGAAGAGTAGGTGTTCCTGAGGGTGGCAATCAACTCTGTTTGGTTAAAAATTAATGAGACAGAATGAATATTACAATGAGAGGTGAACTTATTCTAATGAGGAGCCAGGGGAATATAACTTTGATCATGTCATTTACCTCTAAATCATTCCCAGCCTTGGGAGGAAATCTAGGAAATAAAATCTATATCCCCACCCAAGCTTGAACAGATTATAGGCCATAGTTTCATCTTAGATAAAATTCCTTGTAAGTTTGGATGGGATAGCAGTACCTCATTTGAGGAGAATGTTAAACCTACCTGTCATCATCAGTCCTATCCTTCAGAGGCTGAGCCTTAAAATGAGGACTTTAGAAAAAGGGGGAGAACTCTGGATCTCCCCAAATCATTGGTTATTACTACTCATTATCTCAGTTGTACATAGGAAGAGCTGATCACTAAAGTAACTAAATCTTAAGCCATCTAAAAATGTATATGCCACAGCTAAGATCTTGAATTATACTTAGAAAAAATAGGTTAAAAAATAGAATACAAAACACTGTTAAAAAATAAATTCTCCATTCCACTTAGAAGCCAAGCTATTTTGTTTAATAACAGCTGAATCTTCTAGATGGTCTTCAGGGAACAGCCCTGCTTAGCTCATGTCTTACTAGTCTTACCTAGAGATTACTATGGCAAGGTCCAGTTTTTGAAAGGAGGGGTCATCCTTTCCAAAAGACATATTTAGAAAAAGGCAGTTTTGAGTCATAGCTGTTAAATAACATTCCTGAATCAGCTATGAATATCTAGCATTTGTATAGTACTTTAAGGCTTACAAAATACCTGTATTATCTCATTGTATCCTTACAACAACCCTGTGAAATAGATGCTATTATCCTCATTTTATAGATGAGGAAACTGGATCTACAGAGGTTAGGTGAATTGCCCAGGATCACACAGCTAGTGACTGAGGTAGGATTTCAACTCAGAATTTCCTGACTCCAAGTGTATCAGTCTATGCCACTGAGCTACCATTGTGAATGTAGAGTCTGAGGACTTCAAGGACAGTCAGTCATTTTTTCAGGCATTTCTGGCTTTTCATGACCCCATTTGGGGTTTTCTTGGCAAAGATACTTGGAGTGCTGCGATTACCTTCTCCAGTTCATTTTACAGATGAGGAAACTGAGGCAAATAAGGTTAAGTGACTTGCCCAGGGTCACCCAGCTAGTAAGTGTTTGAGGCCAGATTTGAACTCAGGAAGATAAGTCTTCCTTACTCCAGGCCTGGCACTCTATCCACTGCTCCACCTAGCTGCCCCATTCCTCTTGAAATTAGCAGCAAATATATTAGAAATGTTTTCATTTGCTTACTTACATAGCCATCATTTTACACAGAGTCAGTTCAGGTCAATTTTCACTTGTCAAGTTCTTACATCAGCCATGATTTTGCTAAAGCAACAGCATGTTGAGTAACACCATACTTAAGGCACTGAAGCTTCATATACTTTACAAATTGAGTGCCCTCAAAAATATATGAAAGAGGAGCAGGAGAACAGACCCCTTTCAGAGCAATCATCTGAGACCAGAGGCTTTTCTCTGTAGCTTCTTAAGGTCCCCCCACCCTTAGAATAGGTCCACCCTATGTTACATATACTTACCTCAATGGCTGACTGAGAACATGCCTCAAAGAGCGGCTCTAAAGGGTCATCACATCAGTAAAAGCAGGAACAGAGCCATTGGCCCCAGTGTAGTCCATTTTTTTCTGAGCATGACAAATGTTCTAATACCCCCTTGTACTTCTAAAAGGACTGCTGATTTACACATGGTAATATGTTCTCTTGCACGGGCTCTGTCTCTCTTTGGGAATATGTTAGATCAATAAAACAGTCCTTTAACAATGAATGTATTATTATCTCACTTCCTTATGCTTGTTATGGTATTGTGCCACAGAATGCAAGGCCGTAGAGGGTAGATAATGAGTGGAAAGAGAGAGAGCTAATTTGAGCTTTTGATACCATCATTCAAGATGAGCCTACTTAGAAAGGATGGATCTATTATTTTTTGAGAAAAGAGATACGATAAGTTATTTGGAATTCACCTACCCAGCAACCTCAACTGTCCAAACACAATGAGAACCGAGAGTTCAATTGAAACATTTTAAAGCATCTACTAGATGCAAGACAACATGTGAGGTGTTAGAGATAAAAAGATAAAAGGGAAACAATGTCTGACCACAAAGAACTTCATTGTACTGGCATGGAAGGAATATGAAATAATAAAAAAGACTTCTGAGAACTTGGAAAAACAAGAAGAGCCATATACTTTGATTCATTTTTGTTTTGTTTTGTTTTGAATTCATAGGAAAGCCCTTCAGGACCTCATCAAGACCAGGGCTTCTTAAATTTTTTTTCCATTCACGACCCTTCAGTGCTTCTTAAACTGTGGGTCGCAACCCCTTATTGACTTATTTTGGGCTCAGTTATGAACTTGATTTTCTGGCTAATAAGCTCATAGCAAATCAGAGAGGAAAACATGGTGCAGCTAGAGATGGGCTGAGATGTGCTGAGAATATCAGGAAATGACAGTCAGCTGTGTTAAAGCAAAAGAGGACATAGGCCACCTATAAAAAGCTCATGCAAGAATTCAAAAAGCATAGGAGTTTGGGGACATTTCACATAGGGACAAAACGTCCAATACTTTCTGGCTGTCTAGCCCCTGAGGCCATCATTGTGCTATAGCACAGTGTAACCACTGCCATTACAAGATGTTACACAGGTACCCACATAATGTAAACTGACCAAAAAGAAAGGCCTCCCATGTGTTGAGTTGATTCTCTGTTAAAGTATCTATGGGAAGACATACACAAGAGGCAAGTGGGAAAAGAAGTTGTGGATGAGTGGTGATCTCTTCCTAGGGAAGGATACCCACATCATTATGATCCCAGGTTTACAAAGGAAACCAATTTAAATACAGTTATCAAATATTTTAAAAGGTTCATAGACCCCTACTTAGTTAAGAAAATTTCAATTTAAATTAACTAGGCTCATGCCTACAATATCACTTCAGATTGTATTACATGACAGAGTACTTTGTGCTTTCAAGTTTTCCAAGGTACATTTAAACAGAATATAGACTATTTCAAAACTATAATAATTTATAGAGTGCCCTATTTTACAAAAACTTTACAAATGTCATCTCATTTTATCCTTGCAATAGCCCTGAGAGGCAGATCTGATTCTTATCCCCATTTTACATCTGGGAAAACTGAGGCTCAGTGAGGCTTAGTGATTTGCCCATGGTCATACAGTTGGGAAATATCTTCAGCCAGATTTGAATTCAGATTTTCTCAACTTCTGGTTCTCCTGCATGGAGAGCTTTGCTATAATATATGATTTCTTTTTTAATTAGGGGGAGTTTGTTGCCTGCCTCCTGTCCCTGTTACGACAGATGACAGACAGACATTATCAACAACTTCTTGATGGCTTCGGCACAAAGGAAGAACTAAGGGTAAGTGACTCTTTTGACTTTTCTTTTCTCTCCTCAATATCTCTCTTTGTTTGTTCTCTCTTTTCCCCTTATCATAATTAAAGGAATATTGTTTATACTTGCTGAGGTTAAAAATCTGAGTTGTTTCTCAGCAGATAGGGATAGGAGTATTTAATCAGTAGTGTAAACTTTTTAATTTATGTTGGCTCTTGGGGATTCTGGGAGTGGAATGAAACTCACTCTTGTTTCTGTGAAGTGGCCTTGGTAACACTTGTCCTTGCTAGAAAATGTCAGAAAGGACAAGCTAAAGAAAAGGTCTTCTTTCTTTCAAACAAGGAACTGTGGACCACAGTATTATTGACAAGTTCCAGAGCCTACTCTCAAGGGTAATTTGGGTTGTATTTCATATTCTTTGCCACCTAAGGTCTAATCAATATGATGTGTTGGTCTGACAGTTTGACATTAAACATGACAAATTTCAAGTTGATTTTAAAAAACCTGTCTTTGTATGTGACTTGGACAATATTTTGGTTTTTCTCCTAATGTCCACTAAAACTTGTAGGCCCACTGATTCTCTTTAGTGACCAGAGCTGTTGGTAATTTTCTGCCCTTCTTTACATTCGTTTCACTGTTCTGTTAGCTGTCCTTACTTGTCTAGATAAGTCAGTATGGCCGACTGACAGATATTCTGCTTGTTGACGGATTAAGTACTCTGGTCTACCTTGGCAGTGGAGACACTTGCCAAATATTACAGAAGAAAAGAGCTGTAGATCTCATCTGGTAGGGAAGGAGGAGGCAGAAACCCAAACATGGCATTTTATCTGTTCAGAACAAGCGTAGCCCCTTACTTTAAAAAATGCATTTTGAATATGTGCTGAGAAAGGGCACTAGAACTGTATCACAAATTTATCTCTCATTTCTAATACTATGGATTAACAGACATTTGGGGTAACTACAGAAGAATCTTTTAGGGATATCTGTGCTGTTTGGGAGCTCTTGATAAATGAAGCACAAAGTAGATGAGGATAATGCCAGATGCAGAGAGACTGCTAAAGGATGCAAAAAGCAAGACTTGTGTGTGCATGTGTATTTCCCCTGAGCTTAGAGTCAAGAGTTGAACATGTGAATTTCAAATGTGCCTTTGTAAACATGGAAATCTGAATTTCTCAGATGAAGATGACTTGTGCAGGGGCATTCATTGAATTCCTCATCTGCAACATTATTTGTGCTAACAAAGTTGTAAGCTCCAGGAAGATGTCGACAGTAGAGGCATTTATGAAGCCCCTATTACATACCAAGAATTCTGCTAAGTACTCAGGATACAAAGAAGGGCAAAAACAGTCCCCTCCCTCAAGGAACTTACAGTCTAATGGGAGAGACAACATGCAAACCACTATGTGCAAACAAGATTATAGGCAAGGTACACTGCAGCTAATCTCAGAAGGAAGGCAGAAGCATTAAGGCGGACAGGAAAAGCTTCTTGCAGATGAAGGGATTTGAACTGAAACTTGAAAGAAGCCACAAAGCGTAGATGAGGAGAGAGAATTCCAGGTGTAAGTTACAGCCAGTGAAAATACTCAGAGATGAGGAAGAGATTTTATCTTATCTAAGCTTTATACCTCTTTCAGTGCCTAGAAGAATGTGCTATATATAGACAGTAGGAACTTCATGTATATTTGATGAATTGAATTGCTCTTGTTAAGCATTACATTTTAATGGAAGAAAGATATGTCTATGTATTTTTATCAATCAACAAGCAATTTGATTGTTTTAATAATAATAGCTAGCATTTATATTAGCACTTTAAAGTTATAGATATGTGTGTATGTATGTATGTATGTATGTAAAAATCTCATTTTATCCTGACAACAGCCATTTAAAGTAGATGCTGTCCTTATCCCCATCCTGCTGATAAGGATACTGAGGCTGAGAAAGGATGATTGGCATCTTAGATCTTTCTGACTTCAAGCCTACCCTTCTGTCCACTGTACTATCATCTTACTGCCTGATTATGATGTTCTAAGCAGTGGGCATATGAAGACAGAAATGAACAGTCCCTATTCTCAAGAAACATGTTCTAACATGGAAAGCAACATGTACATATATGGGTATATATTAGACATGCAAAGTAGATACACAGTAACCGTAGCTGAGAAGGCACTAACAGTCATGGTAGGGTAGGAGAGATAGATAAAGGAAGGCCCCTGATAGCAGTGATGTTTGAGCTGATTCTTGAAGGGACAACAAGGTTCAGAGGGCTGGAGGGAGAGCCTTTCAGACATGTGCCAGTGAAAAGGCATAGACATGGGAAATAGAGCACTAGAATAGCAGTTTGGACAATATGGTGGTATCATAGAGTGCATGACAGGGAGAGGGAGGGAGGAGAGGAGAGGTGGGGGAGAAATGTATAAGAAGACTGGTAAGGTAGGAGGCAACTAGATTGGGAAGAGCTTTAAATGCCAGAGAAATTTGTATTTGATTCTAAAAATAAGAGTGAATCAAGGGCATTTTAGTAGGGAGGTGACACTATCAGACCTGTGTGTGCTTTAGGGAAAATCACTTTTATGGCTCTTTGGAGGATAGAATGGAATGTGAAGAGACTTGAGACAGGGAGACCAAATAGGAGACCGTGGCAATAGTCACAGCAAAAGTTGATATAGGGCTGAGCCAGGATGGCGGCTGCTGTGAAGTGTATCAAGAGAAGGTGAGGTATCTGAGAAATATTGCAGAGATAGAAATAAAAAGATTTGGCAACAATACGTGAGATGACTGTAAGAACTTGAGGATGACACCGACATTGCAAACCTGAGTGACTGAAAGGATGGTGATGCCTTTGATAGGAATATGAAAGTTCAGAAGAAGGGTCACTTTTTGAGGAAATAAAATGAACTCTATTTTGAACGTGGTGAGTATGAAATAGCTATGAAGCATCCAGTTGGAATATCCAATAGGCAATTGTTTTTTCAGACTAGGGTTTAGGAGAGAGCCTGGGCTATATAAATGTGTGTGTGTGTGTGTGTGTGTGTGTGTATATGTATATGTATGTATATATATGTATATATATATGTCTGTGTGTGTGTGTGTGTGTGTGTGTATACAGCGAGAGAGAGAGATCAGGAAGTCATCTAGATGGAAATGTTAATTAAGTTATGGGAACTGATGAGGTCACCAAGTGGAAGAGTGTATAGAGAAAAGAGAAGATCGCCCAATGGAACTTTGTGGGTGTATTCACAGTTAGTAATATGAATGAGGACCCAGAAAAGAAAACTGTGAAGGAACATTCAGAAAGATAGGAGGAGAACCAAGAGAGCATTTTGATGAAAACCCAGAGAGGAAAGTATGGTTAGAAAGAGAAGATAGGCAGTAGTGTCACAACTTACAGAGAAGTCAAGAAGGATAAGAATTGGGAAAAGGTCATTAGATTTGGCATTTAAGAGATCACTGGTAACTCTGAAAAGAGCAGTTTCAGTTGAGTGATGAGATCAGAAGCCAGATTGTCAAAGGTTTAAAGGTACAATATAAAACTCTTTTACATATTTCTACAGATTAGGAATGATGTTGAAAATAGCATGTTGAAAGAAATGACCAAGTAGACTAGTATATTGCTTTTGAATGTTTTAACATACCCACTAACAAGAATAATGTATGTTATAAGCTCTGAATAAAGGTATGTACTTTTCTCATTCCAGGCAACTAACAGAACTTTCTCCCAAAACCTATTATGATAATTTCCTCCTCAGTGATAATTTACACATCCATCTAGGAGAAATCTATGAAAGTGGTATACATGCCTTAACCACTTGAATCACTCCTGTGTGTAGGTTTGCTGCAGAGAATAAAAAAAAAATCTTTTAAATACTCAGCAACCTTGATTGTTATAGCCATTTTCACTATGAATAATGGAAATATTTACCAAGTATTTCTGAGAAATGAACATTCAAAAACAGTCAATAGTAGTTGTGGGAACTCAGTGCATTGACAGTAATAAAACTGAAAGTTCTTATTAAGTTATGGGAAAATGTAAATTAGGGATTTTGCAAGTTAAATACAAATTTTATAGCAAAAGTTATTTCTGCTACATGTGTATGGGAAAAAAGCCTAGGAGTTTTAGTGGATTTTAATATCATTATGAATCAGTAATATATGTCATGGCTGCCAAAAAATACTAATGTAATCTTTTAGTCTCCATTAAGAGAACCATAGTGTAGGCAGCTAGGTGGCGCAGTGGATAGAGCACTGGCCCTGGAGTCAGGAGCACCTGAGTTCAATCCAGCCTCGACACATAATACTTCCTAGCTGTGTGACTCTGGGCAAGTCACTTAACCTTAACTGTCACTCTCTTAAAAAAAAAAAAGAGAGAGAGAGAGAGAAACATAGAGTCCTGAATGATAGAGGTTATGATTTCTGTCTGTATGGAGTTTGGTATTCGGTGCTATGTATCATATTTCATGAAGAATTTGATAGTTTAGAAGATACCTAGAATGGGGTAACCAAAATGGTGCAAAAGTCTGTAGACCATATCATAAGATCAGTTAAAGAAACTGGGAGTATTTAATTAGGAAAATTGAGTATTTGGGATGGGAGGAGAATGGGAAGCAAGTATTTGAAAAGTTAGAATATGGATACCATGTGGTTATCATATATTCTACTTGGGCCCAAAGGGCAGAAAGAGGAGCATTGGGTAGAAATAGCAGAGGTATGGGTCAAAGTTCAATGTAAGGAAAAATTTCTTAAAGTTTAGAGCTATCCAAAAGTAGAATGGGCTCCTTTAGGTCGTGGTGGGTTCCCCATCACTGGAAGTATTCCAATTAAAGTGGGGTGACCAGTTGTTGATAATGTGGAGAGGATTCCTGCTGAGGTAAAAGTTGGGGCTAGATGTCCTGTCACATCCCTTCCAACTGTGAGATTCTGGGATTTTGTAATATTTATTTCTCTCATGTGGTTATTATTAACAAGTAATGCAGAGACAGGATAACAAAGATGTCAGCTCTCAAGCAAAAAGGACACTAAGGAATCTAAGG